TTCAGAAAGTGTGCAAAGAGCTGTAGATATGTATTCTCGAAGGCTTTCACAGCCAGGATCTGATGGTTGTTGTGGGATTTTTGGGCTCTTTGGCCATGTTCTGAAGCTTCAGAACACAGCCAAAGAGCCCGAAAAACCCACAACAACCATCAGAGCTGTAGATAACTGACTTGTAATTTCTGCACACATCTAGGAACTATGGATGTGTTCAGTTCATATCAGGATACTCACTGTCTGAACTCCTTAAGTATTTCTCAATTAATTTTTGACATCCTGGTCATCTGTTTCTTAACAAGCCTGGTTAAGATGTCCTTTAAGTGACTTTATTAACACTGAAAGAGAGAAGTCTGGGTCAATCTGTATGCACATAACTACGTCAGCAACAGAAGTTAATAAAAAATAGAAAGGGAACAATAAGTGTAATATACAAGAAGTTGATACAGGCTGATTATAAGACAATAGCTTTGACAGAAGTGTGGTAAGGAGATTGTCTAAATTTTTTTTAAAAAGCTTGAATAAAATGTGGAGTAAAAGAATAATGAAGAATTTGTCTATAAGGGTTAAAGAATATTGTTATAAAATAGTACGGAAACGGCACTTAATACTGGTGAAACTAAATTTATTAAACAAAAAAAGCTTTAAATAATGTCTTTTCATGTTATACATTTCTCTGGGTTTTCTGTAAGGGGAAATGTGAGGTAAAAATATTTTAAATAAGCTAATCATGAGCGAAGGCTGTGCCATGCAAGATGCCTTATCAACATCTTTGACACATGGTTGTCCTCCTTCTGCATAAATAACAGATAAACTGAACTAACCTAACAAGAATGGCAACTCAGAGCCAGAGGAAGGATCTTATCCTTTGCTGGACAAGCAGGCATCAAATTGCACCCTGAAGATTCAGCAATCTATCCTCCTAGGGGGCACATCCCAGACAGCCTTACCTAGGGCACTAGGTCTTCTACAGTATATCCTGCATTGTTTCTTCAGTTTGTAAAAGGCTCCTGCAAGCCCACAAGGAGATGTTTCCTGGGTGTCACACTCCATCCTTCCAGGTGTGTGTGACATGGATTCTGAGGAATGATGAAACCAAGACTCTTCTTCATACGCCAATTAATACGCATGCACCTCTTGGCTATCTCCCTAGTCCCTTGCACCTCCTCCTCATGCATTAGTACACTAACATTCTGTAACTGGGCAATAACAAAAATGTTTTGTGAGTGCAACAGCTAATTTTTTTCTTCTTCTGACATAGTGAGACTTTTTGCCAGCTGGGACAGAGTGGAGAGGGAACCCCAGACACTTGACACATCCAACTAGAACTGTCTTCTCCCCCAGAGTTGCTGTCCCTCTGATTTGCTTCCCCACCAGGAGATCTGGAGAAGCAATTCCCCCATCAACAGGCAACCCCAGCCAAATCTCAGGCCAAATATTGACATTTCCAGGAGAGATTGCTTTTAGTGAGCGATGTAGAGGAGGAACGAAACAGAGAAGATGATACCACATAGAGACATAGAGGGAAAACCCTCATACTTATAACACTGTACTTTCTTTCAGTCACATCTGGTTGATAGAGGGAAAACCCTCATATAGCACTGTACTTTCTTTCAGTCACATCTGGTTACTCACAATTAGAAGCAGAGAGGCTTGAGATTGTCTCCTTTTAGAAGTGAAGATTTCAATCTCTTATCTGTCTTGAGTCAACTGTCTCCATCCAACCACGAGAAAGTGGTTGGAGGAATAAAGACATATCAGAGAAGTGTTTTATACTTGATGAGCACGGGTGGGTCATACTTCAGGTATTAATGACCTTTCTGATAAATCCATTAGCTCATGTCCCAATCACCTCAGCTATTCTGCTCCTTCCATAGGATGCAATGTTATGTGTGGAGAGAAAAGCATTTGAAAATGTTCTCATCTGATTTAACACTCAAAAGATAGCTACACTTCATACCTGTAATTATTTCAGCCCCAGCGCCATTAATTTGAAAACTGAAAATCTTAGTTTAGGGATCAAATATCCTGTCGGGCATTGAGTTGGATATTACTCTTCTATTTCCTCTGTGATGGAGCAGAGAAGTAACAACCTCAAATCATGGGCACAGATGGAGCATATGCAGCTGGAACTGCTGTCATGGGCCATGCCATTAAAGGGTAGGTTCAATTCCCTTACTCAACACAGCTAGGATACAGCTTTGATAGTGGAAATTAGGGAAGTACAGTGGACCCTCGACTTACAGACGGCTCAACTTACAGACTTTTCGAGTTACAGACTTCTCTGGCCACAAAATTTAGGTTTGACTTGCAGCCGGAGAATCGACCTACAGACCAGAAAAAACCAAAATGGAACAAAAACGGCCGGTTACAGGATTAATCAGTTTTCAGTGCATTGTAGGTCAATGGAGACTCGACCTACAGACTTTTCAACCTGCAGCCACCATTCCAATACGGATTAATTCGAACCCGTTCCCTCTAATAGCTGCTCTGGTGATTTTCAGGCCCAATTCAAAATGTTGGTTATCGCCTATAAACCCTATGCAGTCTGGGTCCAAGCTACCTGAGGGACGGTGTCTCTCTGCATGAGCCTTCCCCACCCTTAAGATTTTCTGCAAAAGGCCTTCCCTCAGTCTCGTGGCCCTCACAGGTACATTTAGGGATACAATAGATGGCCTTCTCTATGGGTGCTCCCACGTTGTGGAATGCTCTTTTTATCCTTCTGCTGACATTTGAAGATCCACGTCTTTAGACAGGCTTTTAATAACCACCACGGAGTCCCTGGATGCTGGGTTTTTTGTTTTTCTAAGTGTGCTTTTGAAGTTTGTAAATGGTTTCTAATTACAGTGGTACCTCGACTTGTGTTTGTGTGTTTAGTCGTTTAGTCGTGTCCGACTCTTCGTGACCCCATGGACCAGAGCACGCCAGGCCCTTCTGTCTTCTACTGCCTCCCGGAGTTGTGTCAGGTTCATGTTGGTTGCTTCGCAGACACTGTCCAGCCATCTCATCCTCGGTTGTCCCCTTCTCCTCTTGCCGTCACACCTTCCTAACATCAGGGTTTTTTCCAAGGACTCTTTTCTTCTCATGAGATGGCCAAAGTACTGGAGCCTCAGCTTCAGGATCTGTCCTTCCAGTGAGCACTCAGGGTTGATTTCCTTTATAACTGATAGGTTTGTTCTCCTTGCAGTCCTGGGGATTCTCAAGAGCCTCCTCCAGCACCACAATTCAAAGGCATCAATTCTTCGGCGGTCTGCTTTCTTTATGGTCCAGCTCTCACTTCCATACATCACGACAGGAAAAACCATAGCTTTGACTATTCGGACTTTTGTTGGCAAGGTGATGTCTCTGCTTTTCAAGATGCTGTCAAGATTTGTCATCGCTTTCCTCCCAAGAAGAAGGCGCCTTTTAATTTCAGGGCTGCTGAAATTAAAATTATATATATATGTGAAATTATATATATATGTGGAGCTCTCTTGGCCTCTGGCAGGACTGGGGCTGTGCAGCCCTGTTCTGAGCGGGAGGTGCAGCCAGGGGGGGTCACCATGCCTTGGGGGGGCAGGGCACAGAAGGGGGCAGGAGGTGCAGGGGCCATTCCAACTCATACTTACCTGACAGGGGAGATACCATGATCATGAAAGTGGTTTTTCCCAGGGTGAGGCTTATCCATTGCACTTTGGGTGTACTGATCCCTGTGATTTCCCAGAATGTGGGCAACTCAACTGCATAATTTATGGTAGTTGGTAACTGTGTTTGCTTTTCCCCCTGGTCTTTCTAGAAACACTTTGATCTTTTTCCCCTCACCAGGACCTACTGCAAAGGCAGCAAGTCCTGATGATGTCTTATATTGTATTCCCCCTCTTTTTCTCCCCAGTGGCAAAGGAAGAGGGCAAAAGGAGTCACCAAGATTAGGATCCAGGGGACTGCTTTGACTCCTTTTGCCCTCTCCCTTTGCTATTGGAGAGAGGAAGAGGGGGAATGCTATCCGAGACCCACTGCATTTCAAAAGGCAGTGCAGGTGAGGGGATTGTTTTTTCCTGTGCTGCTTTTTCAAAGGCGGTCTTGGTGACTTGGATCTGGCATTCCCCATCTTTCTCTCCCCAGCGGCGAGGGAAGAGAGCTACGTATTTGGTTTAGAATTTTTTTTGTTTTCCTTCTCTAAAAATTATGTGCATATTGTAGTCAGGTGCGTCTTTTGGAGTGAAAAGTATGGTACATGACAGTTAACATTGTAATATCATATGGGACAGGATGGATTAATAATGCATAGAACTTGGGGACAGGATGGAGGTAAAGGTAAACGTAAAGGTTCCCCTTGACAGTTGTGTCCAACTCGAGGGCACAGTGCTCATCCCTGGTTCCAAGCCATAGAGCCAGCGTTTGTCCGTAGACAGTTTCTGTGGTCACGTGGCCAGTGTGACTAGACACGGAATGCCGTTACCTTCCCATCATGGTGGTACCTATTTATCTACTCGTGTTTTTCCCACGCTTTTGAACTGCTAGGTAGGCAGGAGCTGGGACAAGCGATATGAGCTCACTCCATCACGTGGGTTCGATCTTGCAACTGCTGGTCTTCCGACCTTGCAGCACAGAGGCTTCTGCGGTTTAACCCGCAGCGCCACCACGTCCCTAGGATGGAGGTACATATATGTATACTTGTCACTGTGTCTATGTCTTGATATCTTTCATTCCTCTGAGATTGTTCAAGTTTCATGAACTCAACTCATAGTCTGACAGGTATTCCAGTTTGTTTTATTTATCATCAGGAAAGGAATGAAAATGAACATTGCTTTTTCCTCAGACTCTCTTGCAGTACTTCTGTCTCTTGCATCTTCAAAAGCATACACAAAATTATTTCTTTACCTTCCAAATTACAGAATAGGTAATGACAACTACATAGTTTTTAGATACAGAAGGTTTTACTAATGTATTTGAGCAAAAAGTGTAAAAGACCAGGACATTTAGAACTGCAATCTGAAATATCATATTTTTAAGTTCTCTTAGTGGGATCATCCATGTATTTCTAGTGTGATTAGGTAACAAGGATCACATTTTCTTCGACTATAGAAGGTTTTTACTAACATATTTCATCAAAAGTTTTAAAGACATCCAGTTAATTTGAGCTGTAATTTGAAATTTCTCTTACTGGGATCAAAGATGTGTGTCTAGTGAGGATTCAACATCCTCCTTGCAGGATCCCTCCTCCTGGAAAAGCTTGTACAGTATTTTTTTTATTCTTCCCCTAGACTGAGCCTTTTTATCTCTTCCTACCAGGAAATAGATGAGAGGATTAATAGCACTGTTAATAGAGGTGCCAATGGCAGCGTAATGGTTAAAATAAGGGGATGTAGGAATGTAATACATTTGGAATAATACAGAAGCATTTACTGGAAAACCAAAGAAGAGGAAGAAGAGAAGGGCCAACAAAATGGATTTTAAAATTAATCCCCGTTTATGGTGTGGCGACAGGAAGAAGACATTAATTAACATGGCTATTGTGGAGATAGTCATGGCTGGCATGCAAAGCACAGTATTGAGGACAAACTGATAGTACCATAATTCAAAATAGTCAATAAAGATGGCAAGGGCAAAATCAATAGCAGAAATTAGGAAGGTGACAATCCATATTGTGGCACACACAGTAGTGGACAAATATGGTGGCCGGTGACACTTGTGCCAAAGGGGGAAGAAGAGACAAACACACCTGTCAATGCTGATGACCGCCAGTAGAAATTGACTCATACCAAATGTGAAACTGCAGAGTCTGGGTAATAACCAAATTAGAACAACAGGACAGTTTGTATCATAGAAGGAATTTAAAAATGAACATATAATTTCAAGATCTAGATCTATGAGGAAAGCAAAGTCTGCAACTGAAAGATTCAAGATGTAGGTGGTGAAAGGATTCCTCTTCATACAAAACCCAAGAATCCAGATGACCGTTCCATTCCCCACCATTCCAAAAAGACTAACCAGAATAACAAAGATTAATACTACAAACAGTCTTGTAAAATAGGCATCATCTTCTGGACTATAGGTACTGTTGTTTGGGAATCCAGTAGTACCATTGTATATTGCATTAGAATCCATGGCAGGATCCATTGAAGGCAGGAATGAAGAGGTGATGTAGTCCACTGAGGTCTTTCTCCTTTGGTGCTTCTTCTGGTGAAGGAACAATGAATGAAATACAGGAGGCTGCACGTTCCTGCTATCCTGCCACCAAACTAGCCATGTTTTCAGCCTGATCTGGATTAGCTCATGAGCTGGATCGATTTCAAATATGATGTGAACTTGTATTTGTTAGTTTATTGTGTTGTTGTTTCTAATGTTGTGATCCACCTTTTCTCCTCTCCATATCACAAAGACAACCTATAAATGATACAAAATAATGAATCAATGAATGAATTAATAAATCCGTGCATTTATTCTCCATAGATCCTATGTATTTTATTTCCACATCAAAAATAGGCAGGATCGATTGATATCCATCTGGCTAATGCAAACTTGCTACCTGGGTTGCCTCAGATATACATTGACTCAGCACATATCCATCATGCAGTAACTTTTCTTAAAGAGACAATATCCTCTAGTATTCAGATCAATACACTGGCAGCCTTATAGGCCCCTTCCAGCTTCACTAGTCTATATTTCTATGGTTCTATCCACATAAACTAATAAAAATAGAAAAGAAACAATAAGCATAATATAAAAAATGTTTTTAAAAGACTAAAAAAAGCAAAGCAAGCTATTTATAACCATAACACTTCAAGCCCTCCCTGGGCAGGCTTATGCAGGCTACACATTGCCCCCCCCCCCAGCGAGCTGGGTACTCATTTTACCGACCTCAGAAGGATAGAAGGCTGAGTCAACCTTGAGCCGGCTACCTGGGATTGAACCCCAGGTTGTGAGAACAGTTTTGGCTGCAGTACAGCGGTTTAACCTCTGTGCTGCGAGGCTCATACGAGACATCAACACAAACAGATTATAAAGCAGTAGTTATAAAAGGAGGGTATCAAGGAGATTTGGCTAAAGAAACTAAAGCAGAAGGTGGGAATAAAATGTGGAGTAAAAGAATAATGAAAAACATGTCTGTAAAGAAAATTTCTGTAAATGTGCATGCTAGTGATGGACTCTCTTCTCTGTTTCTTCTTCCTCTGGAAAGAAAGAAACCCTCTCCCTTTCACATACCTGAAGATGCCTGAGAACAGGAAGAGAGGAGCAATCCTCTAGTAAGAGGGTGGGATGATGAAATTAGGCAAGGTGTGTGAGAGTAGTCTTGACTGGATAGTAGGCAAAGTAAACCTCTGCGTTCTTCACGTCCTGGCATCACAAACTGCGTTGTGTTGCTCCCACAACGGACTGCATGATGTGCAAGAGATCCTATCTATACTTCCTCTTTTATGAGTTAGTTCTTAACTTGTTCTTTTCCTGGACATCAAGATAATCATCTCTGAAGCTGAAGGGGGGGGGCGTTTCTGACTTGCATTCTCTCTTGAGAAGAGTAGGAATGGCCATTTCATTGTCAGCTTCAGAGCTGGGCAGATTGTCTCACTCTATGAAATTCACTCTATTCAAAAGTAGGTATACTACATTCAGTTCTCCAGATTGTCAAGAACAAAGAATTTAGCAATCAGGGATATTTGCAGACCTGATTTGAGTACCCCCATGCAATCTTTAGACTCCCTATTCTGAAATATCAGAACTGCTTGGGCCATGTGAGAACGAGCGAGCGAGCGGAAGAGGGGTTTATCCGTTTAAATAATGATAACAAAATGTTTGGGGTGAGGGCCCCCTGCTGACCATCTCTGAGTTAAGTCCTCATTTGACATACAATAGCTTAATAGGGATTATTCTCTATGAGAATGTGTTTGTAGGTGCATACACATGCATTTACACATATGCGTGTGCCCGCAGTTTCATTTTATAAAACACAAATTCTTCATTTTACAAATACACTCTTTTACCAAAACCAGGTACACTTCCAGGTATGTTGAGTTTCCCAAACTGACAAGAACAAGGAACTTCACAAATAAGCTTTAAATCCCTAGCTCTTTTCACCTCTTACTTAACTAAATAGGAACGTTTTTGGTTAAAGCTTTTAATTTCCATCTCTTTTTTTTCTCCCTAGAAAGTGGCCCTGCTCCCACCTGGTTTTCATATACGACATGAATTTGACTAACAGGAAGGAAGATGTTCCAAAAATGTAAGGACCATTTTCAAGGGGCATAGAAGTTTAGCATGATACGGTAGAGATGTCTACGTGGATAAAGAATTTGGAAGATCGAAAGCAATGTTTTTATTTGAGAATGGAAATGTGTCAGCAGCCAGTACGGCTGGCGCAGAATTGGTATCGCAGAAAATTGAAAGACTAAAGAGAACTTCTGCCTGCTGCTCCTCTCTGTGCTTTCCTATGGATATCCCTAATGCAGGAGAGCCCTGGTCCAGTGAACGTGATCTTCTGGGGTGAGCAAAGGCAGTGCTAACTGTATGTTAGGTCATGAGCAGAATCCTTACTGCAATACTGTGGTTTAACCACTGGCAATGCAATCGGCTGAAGCTTCCAGGTCATCTTCAGAACCATTCCCATAAAGGGGACACATGTTTCCAAATTTATTTCTGTCATTTCAACCCCGTGTTCAAGCCTTTCCAGATCTTTTTGAATTTTTGTCCTGTCTTTCAGGTATTAACTATTCCACCCAGATTTCTGTCATATGCAAATTTTAATCAAGAACCTGGAATATTTAGCTTTACAGAAAAGACGTGACAATCTCTTCCATACTGAAGACAAATAAAATCTGTCCCCTGCCCATCTCCTTGGTTTTGCTGCTTTCGGGACTGCCTCTTTGCCTCGGCCTGCTGGACAAGGGTCTCTTCAAATTGGGAGAGGCCATGCTGCACCGCCTGCCTGCAGGATGAACGCTCAAATTGGGAGTGGCCATTCCTAAGGCCTTCAGATCCCACTTGCAGATCTCCTTGTATCACAGCTGTGGTCTCCTTCTGGGGCACTTTCGCTCCACTAATGCTCCATACAGGAGATCTTTGAGAATCTGACTGTCAGCCATTCTCACGACATGCCCAAGCCAACGTAAACATCACTGTTACAGTAATGCATACATGCTAAAAATTCCATCTGATCAATGATCTATATAGATATGTATTATTTTCCTCTGCCTCGCTTTCATCCATCTGATCAATATGTATTATTTTCCTCTGCCTCGCTTTCTGAGATCCTGCACCACATATGTGGTCCACCATGGAAACTGATCGTATTACTTAATTTGCCTAACACTTCGTTCCCTCAGGAGTGCAACATTCTCTTCATTGGCTTAGGTCAGCTAAAAAGACATGAGCTAGAGTTGAATTTCTACATAATTAGAGGAAATGGTGTCCTGCAAGTATTAGTGGACTTCTTCCTTCCATCCAAAGTGCAGTACTTTATCCATTACATTCCTTAATGGGCTAAAACAAAACAATCTTTGGAATGCTTTGGGGCCTTGCATTTTCAGCAAAGCGGTTGGAAATGTACTGGAAGGAGGATTCAGCTTTCAAGAAAGCTAGAACTCTAGAACGATTGAGATCTTGTCCCTCCTCCGAATGAAACTTTCCAAGAATTTGAAGAGTGCTATCATATTTCCTCTCATCCCTCCTCTGAATGAAACTTCCCAAGAATTTGAAGAATTAAAATGTGATATCAGCAACGACACAGTACTCAAGATGAAACTCTTTCATTCTTTCCTTGGTCTTCAATCCCCTGATCATCCTTATTGTCGTCCTCTGAACTTGTCTCCATCATACTTAAAATGTGATGTCAGCAACGACACAGTACTCAAGATGAAACCTAACCAGTGGTGAATAGAAGAGATCTAGTACTTCACATTGGTCAGATTTCAAGTTCTCTATGTTCCAGAATTTGAACTAGAGATGTGACAAGAAATCATAAAAGTTCTAGACGGTAATGGAGAAACAGAGGACGAAGTACTTCCCGTCTTTGGCTTTTTCACTAAAAAGACACTGTTGAGAAAAGCCAATTTGTCTTACCTGGCAAGAGGTGTCTTCTCCTGTAGTTGCCACAGGCTATGGTGGAAATTCTGTATGGGCCAACAACAGCAAATGATAAAGGGGTGGGTAGACAATTAGTTATTAAGCCAGTTATGGGCATTGTTGGCCAAGTACAGTCAAAACAGATGGCCATGGCAACCATGAAGTTCTTATGTGGGCTCATTTCATGGAGGCAACATCACCTAAGGTTAATGTAGATGTTCTAGAGACAGGTAAGGGTCATGCTTTCACTTGATTTAGTAAGGTGACCATTGAAATATGGCTGGTTATGACTTTGTCTCCTGCCAAACATGGAAAAATATTATGAAGTGTTTGGACAGATCTTCCTCTGTGGTCTTTTTCAGGTTGGCAACCACATCATCAGCTTTTCTGGTAGAAGATTTGCCTGAGCAGAGTAGCTTCGATGACACTCTCCAACCATCTCATCCTCTGCCATCCCCTTCTCCTCTTGCCCTCACCCTTTCCCAATATCAGGGTCTTTTCCAGGGAGTCTTCTCTTCTCATCAGATGACCAAAGGATTGGAGCCTCAGCTTCAGGATCTGTCCTTCCAGTGAGCACTCAGGGTTGATTTCCTTCAGAATGGATAGGTTTGTTCTATTTACAGCCCAGAGGACTCTCCAGCTGTCATACATACCTTTTGAAAGAAGCTGTGCTTGTTGCAGAGTAGCTTATAAATGCCAACACTGAGAGAGAGAGAGAGAGAAACAGATACACCTACAGGTATGTAGACATTAAAGTGGCTAGCCTTCTTCAAGTAATACCCCAATAATGTGTAAGTAGAGATGGACACAAATGGCCAGTTTGGTGGTTATGTGCAGTTCAGTTACTGGCTGCACACCAGATTTGTGGTTTGGCACCCTGCCCCCCTCCAGTGGGCACCCACTCTGAGGCAGCGCCCAAAGCAGGAGGGTCAGGGAATTTGGAGAGGCATGGCACTGAACTGTGTAGCCAGTAAGCAAACCGTGCCAAACCACTGAATTGGCCATTTGTACCCATCTTTCTATATAAGCAATTGAGGGTGTGCAGACATATGCACTCAACGAGCAAACGTTTGCCTTATCTACACGGCCAATCTCTCAGTAAATGTTTTTATAACCAAGAAAGTTATTTTTGTGCAAATGATGTATTTAGGGAACATGACTGTGCACAAATATTTGTGACTGTCACCAGAGAATTTTGTAAACACCCACAAAGTTTTGGTGCTAGAACTTTGTATCAGATAATAACATCATTGCTTTCTTGGACTGTTTTGTTAGAGGAAGTTGTCGTTTAGTCGTTTAGTCGTGTCCAACTCTTCATGACCCCATGGACCAGAGTACGCCAGGCCCTCCTATCTTCTACTGCCTCCCGGAGTTGGGTCAAATTCATATTGGTTACTTCGCAGAAATTGTCCAGCCATCTCATCCTCGGTCGTCCCCTTCTCCTCTTGCCATCACACTTTCCTAACATCAAGGTTTTTCCCAAGGAGTCTTATGGTCAGATAAATTCAAGGAAGCGTTTGGGAGGACATTAGATCTGTTGGGACTGTAGTGCTGTGCTTTGTCCGCTAGATGGAAGTGTCTGCCTACTGAAATGTCCCATGGTAACCTCTCCCTAGCCCACTGCTTTATGGTCAGCTCAGCTCCCAAACAGATGTTGTCCACTGGCCTTCATGGCTGTCCAGTAGTTTTTTAAACTGTTTAGTCATTGATCATTTAGACCAGTGGTTCTTAACCTTGGGTTACTCAGGAGTTTTGGACTGCAACTCCCACTGCAGAAGCCTTCACCACCAACTGTGTTGGCTGGGGTTTCTGGGAGTTGCAGTTCAAAAACATCTGAGTAACAAAGGTTATGAGCCACTGATTTAGACAATGCCTGCAGGAAAAACTGTGGTAGGACAAGGATGATCTACTACATTGCATGCCTATGCCTTCTAGTTTTGCACAATATTTCATTCTTTAGCATGGCTTTTCTTTTTGCCAGACATTCAACTAGTACCTCATTAAATGAACAGCAGTTTGCTGCCATGACTGCCTTTATCTCCTTTGTGTAAGATTAAATGACCAAAAGAATTATGGTCTATATATTTATATGGGTTAGTATAGGGAACATGTTTGGACTGAGTTTTACTCACTGTTGGCTTTTACCAACACCGGCAATGACATACAAACAACATGTACCACTGCCACCACAAAACACAAGT